CTCAGACGACCTCTGCAGAAGCCGGGGGTGTCACCGAGCTCCGGAGGCCCGTGGGGGCGGCCTAAGACAGCTGCGGACGACCCACACTTCATCTCACCTCTGCCTCATAAGCATTAAGAGGATATGAGGAATAATGAGATATATGTGGACGAAAGTCGGAAAGTGCCTTGTAAAGACACGAAACGGACGGGAAAGAAAGTAGTGCGCAAAGGCTGATGAGAAATGGCAGACAACTCACTTCTACTGGAACATGGGCTCCGTCCGCGCCATCGTACCGGGCATCGTCAAAGATGACCAAATCTTCCAACCCATCGAGCCCGGCTTCGCATCCTACCCCAAGGAATCCTTCGAATTCGTCCTCGGCACCGCCACAGGCCTCGACATGGCACGCCAATCCGCCCTCGTGTCGACCGCCTCCGGCCCCAGGTCCCTGCCGTACGACTACCTTGTCCTCGCCACCGGCGCCCGCGCCGCCTCCCCCGACATGCCGTGGAAATCCTCCAACTCGCACGAAGACACCCTCCGCCTCCTCCACGCGACAGCCGAAAAGGTGAAAACCGCAAACCACATCGTCGTAGCGGGCGCGGGTCCCACGGGCGTCGAAGTCGCCGCCGAGATTCGCTTCGAGTTCAAGGACAAAGAGGTCCACCTCCTCGCCGCCGAGGACGAGATCCTCGCGGGCGATTCCATTGCGAAGCCCGTAGAGAATGAAATTACGAGGCTCGGCGTGCAGCTCCGGAAGCACGCGCGCGTCGCAAACTCCCGGCCCTTGCCGGACGGCAAGACCGAGGTCAAGCTCATGAGCGGCGAGGTCATCCGGACGGATCTGTACCTGCCGACCATGGGCCTCGTGCCGAATACGGAGTACCTCGACCCCGGGATGCTGAACGAGCGCAAGTATGTGAACGTGGACGAGTACATGCGCGTCAAGGGCGTAGAGAACGTCTGGGCGTGCGGGGATATCGTCTCGTTTCCGAGGGCGGGTTTCATGCTCACGGATAAGCAGGTTCGTCACATCCCCCACCCCCATGCTCTATTTTTATCACATCTTCTTCCTCTCCTATAAATGACTGACATTATTCCACTCGCACAGGCCGCCGGCGTCGCGAAGAACATTGAGCTCGCAATCAAAGGCAAAGAACAAGCGGTCGTAAAAGGCATGCCCGTCGACGTCTACGTCTGCGCCACGGGTCGCAGCCGCGGCGCGGGCCGCATCGGCTGGGTCAAGGCGCCGTCCCTGATGATCTGGGCCGTCAAGAGCCGGAACCTGGGAATGCCCATGGCCGTACCGTATGCCAACGGTGGCCAATGGTGAGCTAGCCGGCATCCAGAAAGCAGAAGCAAAAGCAGAAGCAGAAGCAGAAGCAGAAGCACGGCAGCAGGGCGCACGAACTTGGAGGATGTTTTTGATTCATGTAATTACACTTATACGGCTCTGTTCAAATAATCTGATCTAAACTCACGGAGAAGCGGCCAACGTTCTGGTCTGAAAAATATTGCCATCATCTGAATCATTCCTAGCCCCCTTTTCTGTACTTCGGGATGCGTTCTGCTCACTGACCAGTCCTGATGACTCTTGAGTAACATTCAGGGAGAAGCAGGCCGCTAAAAGAAGAGTGAGAAAAAAAAATCCATTGCTTCAAGACCATGCATTATCCGCCGAACCTTTGTATTCTACCTGTTAGGAGCAGAGTCTTCAACTTCAAGTCCACTTCATTTTCCCTCTCCCACGTCTCATCAATCTAAGCAGCGGAACGGCAAACATTATAGTTTTACATGCACGAAGAACATGCGTTGAGATGGAAGAAAACAACTCCCTGAATTGGACGTGAGAAAGGGGTACCCAAACCAGACCGGGCCCATCATCCCTACCTCGGAAGAAGACAACATATAAGAATAACCCAAGCAAGCCGCCCGCCCTGCACCAGAAGAAGACGCTGTCAAATTTGGATTTTTCCTCTCTCCCTCTCTCTCCCCCCTTCACTCTCGCTCTCCCTCTATCATCTTCATCTGCTGGACTTCTCGTCCTCAACCTCCCTCCGTAGCTGGTCAAGCACACCCTGCCGCGACGCGAGATGCGTCTCGAGACCCTCAACCTGCTCCTTGACCGTCTGCAAATCATCTGACACCCCCTTCAGCCCACCGCCGCCGCCCTGGCCCTTGCTGGCACCGCTCTCGAGGTCCTTAAGCTCCTTGCGCTTGTAGTCGAGCAGCTGCTCGAGCTCGCGCTTGACGAGAGCGGGCTTGCCGTCGCGCTTACCGCCTTTCTTGCGCTCAACATCGGCCTCGATGCGGGCCATCTTCTCGTCCAGCTCCTGCAGCTGCTTCTTGAGGCGAACCTCCTCCCAGTCGTCCGTCTTGGCCGTGGAGAAGTCGGTGCCGCTAGACTTGAATCCGCTGCGGCCCAGGCGGGTAAGGTACTGGTCGCCAAACTTGGCCTTGCGGCCTGTCGCCGTCGAGTCGTCGGCCTTTGTCGCCCATCGGGAGGCGCCGGGGGTCTGGTTGTCTAGTTGGTAGTCGATCTGGTTGCGCTCAAAGGAGGCGCGCAGGGAGGCGGGGACGGTGCGCGGGATGCGGAAGCCTTCGTGGCGGTTGTTGAGAATGTGGAGGAAGGCGAGGCAGGCGTCCTTGTTGATGGATGGGCCGGCTGAGGGGTTGATGAGGTTCCAGGCGGAGCGGATGTCGGTGTCAGGGACGTCGAGGGATTCGTAAAGGTCCTCCAGAGCAGTGACTGTGAACGACGCACCGTTAGTAAAGCGGTACGCTATATAGGAGGCGCGCGGAAGTGAACATACATGCTACTTGTCCCCGTGCATCCCGGTTCTCTTGGTATATCGACTCGTACTTGGACTTGTCCGCTGGGCTCATGTACCAGTCGAATCCGTCCTTCAGCCCTGGCGAGTCTGGATCGTCGTCGACCTGCTCAAACGCCACTTGCCTTCCTGTGAGCGCGCGATTCGCCTGGACGAGATGTGCCTTGGACTCGGGGACGAGCCAATCGGGGAGTGTTGTTGGGACATCTGAGTATTCCTGCCCATCCGAATGCGATTAGTACCTCTACGATACTCTCTCTTCCACTGCACATCCGACTCAAGGTATACTCACGCCATTCAGGATATCAAAAATGACTCTCATGGCAACGCAAAACTCCTCGAAATCGAGATTTCCATCATTGTCGACGTCGGCGAGATCCCACACCCTCTCGAGCTGGTTATCCGTCAGGCCGCTATTCTTCAGCACCGGCGCAGCCTGTTCTCCCGTCAGGAACTGGCCCCCGCCCGTCCGGGTGGAGAAGATGTTCCAGTACGTCTCGATTTCTTGTGCTTCGATGCGAGGAGGCGCCATAGTGTGCGGTATGTGTGGTTATGGTTTCTGTATACGGAGGAGAGCGTCGATGGACGGAGGTTGACGAAGGGGGGCCGGGCTTTGGGGAATCGAGCTTGCTCGGGCCTCGTTCGTATGGCGGGAACTGCGGTGCGCAGATAGCTGACTCGTCTCTGGAGACTGCTTGGTGAATCAATTCGACGGAGGCTTTAGGAATCTCGTGAATCGTAGATGGTGAGGATTTAGCCGGAGAGGTGTCGTTGTTGCTGAGTGGATCGTCGTTAGGCCGCGTGGGACGGGAGCTCGGCCAAGGATGTGGATTTGGGGTAATCGGCGGGTTGGAAGTGGGAGGCAGTGCTTCTGTAACTTGGCTGAGCGTGCGCTCGGTGAGGGAAGCTCGGTGATGCAAGGTCGACCCACAGCAAGCCGTCGCTAACCCCCTGCTCACTTAGCTCATCACCGACTTACATAATCCTGGTGGCATTCCTTACGGGCCTGCTCAACGACATGTCACGAAGCAGTTACTACATCACGAATCAAAGGGGACATCATTTTGCGCAAGCTGATTTTTTTCCTAATTCACAAGAAATCGCACTGATGCGATGGGTATCTCAACAAAATTAAGGGGCCTTTTCCCCGAGAAAACCTTCCCGAATTCCAAGTGGGTATCATCCTCCGAACCAATGTCATCTGCAAGCCATCCATAGAGGTATGAGCAAAAGAGAAAGCCATCCGAATCCTGAGTCCTCCTCAACACCGAAACAAAATCCTCCAAGTAGGAGCGCGATATGTAACGAAGACCAAAATCCGTCTCGTTGAAAAGTGCAAGAAGCAAGAGAAGAGACGATCGATATAGCAAGAAAGCTCTTGCAAACCAGGAGACGTGATGGTCGTATGTCTGGTACCTGTGGTTGACACTTCTGCTGTAATGGTGCTTTTTTTTGTGTTTTTTGTGCTTTTATGTTGCCTCAGTAGGCAAAGTTGGTCCGTGATGCAACTCGCTGATCCTTGCCGTCAAGCCAGGCTCGCAACCTTTCGCTTCTTGATGCTTTGATGCTCGTCGATGCTACTGGGTCGCTGAAAAAATCCGATAGCAAGGTCGTCGCTCGAGTCACTTGTCTGCCTTCTCGTTGTCATTGCGCTTCTGAGCAGCGGCAGCCTTCTCAGCTTCAATCTCCATACGAATGCTTGCGGTAACGCCAGGGAACGGGGTTGGTGCCGCATTCGGCTTGTAATGAAGCGAGTAGATGCTGTTCGGCCACGAAGCCATGTTCATAGCTATGCGCTCTCGGGCAAGCTGCATAGCGATGTGAGCAGGCCAACCCTTCTTAATCATCTTCAGAGCATAGTCCGCGCCATCCGGAATCGCCCCCCAGAACTCCTCGTACGTCTTGTATTGAGGAGGGAACAACCTACCAAGCTTGTCCTGGCGAGGAGGTGCCGGAGCCTTGGGATCGACTTGGCTCAAAGAGTTGATTGAGGCAGCAGTATGCGATGGTTGCTGGAAAGACGAGCGGTTCAGAGCTGGCGCTACGGCTGGCGTTGAGGGCTCTAGGATCTCGACGTCGGGTTGGGGTGTAGGTGCCTGAGGGCGAGCATAGGCTCCAGGAAGCGATGATTGACACACGTCAGTAGCAGGCGGCTGCATCGTAGAAGTTGACGACGCGGGCATACGCTCTTGATTTCCCGGCTGACGACCGTGAGTTGTGAAATCGGTCTCTAGTGCAGAGAAAGGGTTTGGGTTCGAATAGGGACTAGGGACCGAGGATTGACGCAGCTCACTAGCTGACGACTGCATGCGTGAAACAGAAGCCGTGGGCATACGCTCTTGAATTTCATGCTGACGACGACTATACTCTGTGGATGCAGTCTCCATGGCAGTGTATGAGTTCAAAGGCTGATAGGCTCTAGGAGTCGATGATTGACGCGGCTCAGCAGCAGATGGACGCGTGCCGTAAGAAGAAGAAGGATGATGCGTACGCTCGTAGCTTGTAGGTTGACGAATGCCAGCTCTGGGTTCGGGCGCCGGAAAAGTAGCGTATGAACTCAAAGGCTCATAAGCTCCAGGAAGCGAGGATCGACTCAAATCAGTACCAGACGGCCGAATCTCAGAAATGAAAGACGCGGGCATCGGCTCGTAGTCTGTCGTTTGACGAACATCAGCTCTGAAGTTGGTGTATGAGTTCGAAGGCTCGTTGCTGTATCTCGAGACTGGAGTCATTCTGTCCTGGTACTGGGCAATTCTCTGCATATGAGGCTGATCGACGCTAGCTTGACGGCTGCTCTCGTTAGACTGGTTCGTCTTCGGTTTGTTTCGACGTCTCCGAGTCGGCACAGCACCTTTGGCCGCCTGCGGGAGCATTGGCTCGGTGCTGGAAACTGGGTTGTTCGCCGGAGGTGTACCAGCGTTTAGAACGGGAGAACTGTTCGCGGGGGTCTGTATAGCCATTGCCTGGTCCGTAGCTCGCTTCGCCGTAGCTTGGCTCGCGGCAGCTTGGTTCGTAGCAGCTTGATTCGTAGCAGCTTGGCTCATGGAAGTCTGGTTCGTGGCAGCCTGGCTCGCAGCAGTCTGGTTCGTAGCAGTCTGGTTCGTAGCAGCTTGGCTCGCAGCAGCAGCCTGCGCAGCGGCGATATCCTCAGGTCTGGGATACTTGCGGGGACGTCCTCGGCCACGCTTGACGGGTATGAGTACTCCGTCAGGACCCATCACCTGCGGTTGGGGCAGAGTCTGCGGAACGGCCGCAGCCTTCTTCGAAGGGCGGGCTCTCTTGGGCTTGGGAACGTAGTCACCATCGCTATCATCAGCCGCACGCTTGCGGGTCGGCTTGGTAGAGCTCTTGGTGGATGGAGCCTCGGGACTATCCATGCGCGTAGCTGGAGTTCGGGCTGCGCTATTGTGTCTCGCGGGAGGAGCGACCACGGGTCTTACAGGGGTATTGACCATGGGCATCGCAGGAGTAGCAGCCATAGGTCTCGCAGAATCATCAGTCAAGTCGATGACAGTGCGCGGGCGCGAGCCTCTAACGACAAACGCAGGAGTGTTGTAGAAAGTGATTTCCTCCTGTTCTGGGAGCATGGGAGCCTTCAAGGCGGAGCTAGGTTCTTTTGCTTCAGATGCTGCAGACACCTTGGAGCTTCCAGGGACTCTGGATACCTTAGCAGCCCCAGGGAGTACAGAGAATCCGGGGGCTTGAGAAACCGCAGGCGCTTCAGATATGGCAGGTGTTCTAAAGACTTCAGAGACTCCAGACGTATCGGTGCTCGGCATTGGATGCGAAAGCTCCATATTCGATTTGGCGATCGGGTTAGCGCTCGGGTTGGCGTTCGCGTCGGCAGTCGAATTGGCGTGCAGGTTGGCGTCCGAGTTGGCGATGGAATTCGCGTTCAACTTCGCGTTCGAGTAAATATTCGAGTCCTCTGCAAGATTGTTCTCCTGGTGACTAGCCTCCTGAGCAACACTCTGATGAGCGGTCGCCTGGATGGTCGGCATCTCCGGTCGAACAACTGGAAGTAACATCTCGTCGACGAACCAAACGGGCTTGCCGCTGTAGAGATGTTCCTTGTAGGCAGCTGACTGAAAATATTCGTATGCAGGTGAGTCCGAAGGCTTCTTGTTGGTGTCCACCTCATCAATATAAGAAATGAAGGGCTGAGGCACCGCTGAGCTTGCGCTCAGTGGAGCCAACTGGCTCTCATCATGAGCCTGAAATACGAGGAGAGACGGGTTCGTAGAGATGCAAGTATGGTCCACGGATGGCTCCGGCTCTCCAAAGAAGGGGTAGGGCATAAGCTCCTCGGCCTCGGGCAGGAGACCTCCGAAGGGGAACAAGGGAACAGCCGACAGATTGTTGGCTTGAGCCTCGTGAGATGCCTCGTCGAGTACTTGGTCACCGAGAAGCGGGTGCTCCTCATATCGGTCGTGCTCCTGCACCTGAGTGACTTCAGGATTGCCATTGGCATCAGACTGAAGGCTCTTGTACGAGACTGCGGGACGGTTGCGATACTTGTGAACTTCGGTGGGACTGTAAAGCTCGTCCATGTCCAAGTTCTCAAAGACCCATGCATACTGCTGACGGTTAACCTTGTTCTCGTCTTGACCTCAAAGGCGAGAGCCACCGAGGTTCACGTCATGAACAACGGATGAACTCCAAAGGGAGACATATAGATGAAAGAATGAGAAGCAGCTTACCTGGTTGTTCTCGCCAAATATCGGGTTGTTCTGAGTGTACACTTGGCCGGCATTGTGAGGCTCACTCCCTGACTCTGAAGTAGGAGTGTCGTGCTGCTCCGTGGGATTGGTCGCAGACAATGTGCTCTCCTGGCTGTCCTTTGTAAGATCCAAGTAAGGGAAGTATGCTTGAATTTGTATCAACCTATTCACCAACTCATGGTGCTTCTCGTTGAACTGATCATGCCAGTGTGGCGGTCCATTGTAGCTGGGAATGTCGATGTCGTGCAAATCTGAACTATTCTTGCCTTTCTCGAGGATGGCAATGCAAGAGGCCAAGATCTCTCGCTCGATAGGAATCTGAAGGAAGCCCTCCGAGATCCCGCGGCACTTCTGAAGTACTTGGATATACTCGCCTAATCCAGATTGACGCAAGTACTGGCAGGATTTCTCGTACTCGTCGGGCTGGATAGTGTGAGTAGGAAGGTCAGGCTGGTGCAGAACATTCATGCCGTCTCTCGGTGGCCCTTGGCTATGGATCAGGTCGAGGAGTTCGGAGGTGTCCATCTTGTCGCAGGTCTCTGACCACTCCTGGATCTGGCGGTGGTACTGGATGTAGGCCACAACAAAGTCAATGACATCTGGAGTGATTAGGCCCAGAGCCCGGGTTGCCGAAGCAAAGCTCTCTGATTCACAGACAGCCTCCAGCAAGACCCATTGGGCGCCGTGGCTGAGGTGAGCCCAGGAAATGGGCTCAACCTCCCCAGACTCTGGGCTGCCCCAGTCCATATCGCCCTCGTCCTCGCCCTCGCCCTTGGCTTCACGCACGCCCTCCGGCCGCTCGTCCTCCTCCTTCTCCTCTGCGGTTTATCAGCGGGATATGCGATGAGTAGGGGGAAGAAGTACTTACCGTTGTCACTGAAGTGCTCGGGGGAGGGGTTCTGCTCCCGCAGCCAGGCGTCCAGCTCGCCCCGGTCTCTCGCCTCCACATACTCATCCCCCGGACCGCGCTGGTCCAGGGGGATGGTTGGGAAGGACGCCCAACGAGCCGCGCCGGGGTCAAAGACCGGGTCTGGGTGAACCCAGGCCGGCCTTTGAACCCCGAGCGCATATGGCTCCTGGTACCTACCCTTCTGAACTGCTTGAGTCGAGCGCCGCAGCGCACGCCTCCGGCCGCCCGCTTCCTCCATCTTTCGATGGGTATTAGTATGCGATATTCCCCTAGGGGGCGGATTGGGAGAGCAGCGGCGACCACAAAAGAAGTGGTGATGATGTGTGATGAATTTGCAATGGTGGTGGATGAAAAAAAAGTGAAAATTGGGTGGAAAAAGTGAGGTGTGGGTTGAGGGAGTGAGAGAGAAGGCGTTGTGTGAGAGTGAAAAGACGGATTGTTGACAGCCAAGTGAGATTGTTTTGACCAGAAATCTCGCGTTCATGAGGGGGATGTATGAAGAAGGAGCAGTGGGGCCCTTGAGAAAAAATAATGAGGCATTTGCTCCTTCCTTTTTGTCATAGAAGGGTTGTGTATAGAGTGAGGTGGGATGAGATGAGTCCTGTTACCTGGGGCTCACTGGAGGTCGGTCCCTCCCCATGGGATAGCCTCATACAGCCTTGTTTACTGGCTCAGGCGGTCATTGTATGTCGTGACGGCATGGTGTAATTGCACTGAGGGTGGGCACAGAGAATTGGACTTCTCTACATCATGATGCGCATCCTTTCGATGGGTGTTTTACTAAGGAGATATGGAGAATGCGACAAGAACAACTCATGACCTGACCCAGCAGAAGTGTACACAACTCATGCCATATGAAGATTTCATAAGACCAATTTGACCAGCATGTTTGTCTATCACATGTCAATAGTCCTGAGCATGGCCTTTGTATGTGACCTTTTATACTCGGCGTGTCTACACCACAAATCATCTTGGGAATGGGCACAATTTGAGATGGTGTGAATGCTGGATTCTGATAGCGTTGAAAGCAGGTCTAAACTGCCCTAAGAGAGAGTCGTTGCCGACTGAAACGGGTATACTGACTGACACCTTTGACGCCTATCCATGTTCCCAAAAGCAAAATTCTAATCCCCCTTGATGAGTCTGCTCCTAATGATGGCTGAAGGCGGTCTTCCTGCTGACGCCAAAAATACTGATGCATTGCCTCCGCTACAAATCTCTTTGGCTCCAGGTCTCTGCAATCGACTAGAGTCGTCCCTACGCGACTGTATCGCGATCACGAAACGGAACAAACTTGCCCCTGTCCTGGTACCGCTCGCGATCCGCGGCGAATGTCTCATATCCTCCGCCCTGCCTGTCCTCGTCGTCAAGGGTCATTTCGATACCGCGCTTGCCGCCTCCGCCGCTGTATCCTTGCGACTGGCCGGCTCGAGGAACATCTCTGGTCACATTGGAGACACTTCTCTGGGCATTGAGAATGTCTTCGTATGCTTGTAACATCCTCTTTCCGTCCTCGTCGAAGTTGGCGGAGAATCGTTGCATGGAGACAAACTGTACGGAAGAGATCATGTCCTTGCCGTACATGGTCATGATGTAAGCTGCAGCGACGAAAGCTGACCGGTCGTTGCCTGTTTCGCAAACAAGGAGAATCTTGCCACTCCTAAAGCTTTCGTCGTCGACTGCCATCCGACCTTCCTGCGCACCCACGACTTGACTGCGATACACATCGATCAAATGCCCATTGATCTTCCTCACCACCTCTGGGAAGCCGCGGATCAATTCAGAGTTGTCCAAGACGTCCAAATATTCGACTTGTATGCCGAGCTTCTGTGCTACCTTGTCGACACTCATCAGTCGAGCTTGGGCCACCCTGGCATGTCGTGTAACGATGACCATGGTGATTCCCTCCTTGGCAAGCCAAGCTTCGTCGCGAGCAACAGATAACGGGCCGAGATAGAGGAAGTCCAAGAGCGTCTGTGCCTTTCGCCGAGCCTCGTAGTTCCAGCCAACTGATCTGTCTGTGGCAGTCTGAGTCTTGTCCCGAGTTATGATTCTGAGATCCTCGCTCGTGAGGCGCATGGCATCGACATTGTTGAATGAGGGGGTAAAGGCGCAAGTAGCGTCGCCTTTAGCAAATGTCATGGGAATGGGTATATAAGGAGGACTAGGGGGCCTGTGGCTATACGGAGCTGTGGCAATGGCATGCTCTTTCGGCTCCTGGGGTTCCTCCATGTTTGCTGATGCTCAATGCGGGGTTTAATGACAAGCAGTCGGCAACGATATGTGTTTCGTTGCGGGAGTGCAAGACGCACTGACTCGAAGCAAGCAGTGCAAGGTGCCTTTGTTCGCAGTGTTCGTATGTTGCCGATACTGTGTTGGCACACAAGCAAAGACAAATTGCCGAAAGTTTGGTCAAGCCAAGGTAAGAAATGGAAATCAAAGCAAGGTGTTGGACCTTGTTATGAGTGAAATCGGAAAGGATAAGGCGTTGGCTGAAGTGGTGGTGGTTTGAGTGATGTTGATGTAAAGTTGAGAGGTGGAGTAGGAAAGTACAGAATCTGGGTTGCAGGCTTGCAGGAGGTGTCGAATCGGCAGACTGGGCCGGAGCGAGCTTAGACCCCCTGTGCGGCGGGCGTCTGTACAAAACCGCCCCACTCTGAAGCCTAGACCCATCGGAGACGTCCTGGAAGCAACCTAACCATGTGCCAATCCCAATTCCAACGTCGCTTCCCCAGGGGAAAACCTTTATAGAACGGTTACTTGCCGCCGCATGCACGTCAGTGACATCGCCCCAGTATCTTCCTTACCTGCCAAGGTTCGCGAGTCTAGGACGAGAACAAGACTGCAGCTGAGAGGCATCTGGGGTTGGGCCCATGCATTCAGAACAAGTCATCGCCGTAGGAAACCAAGCGACTCATGCAAGTACCTATCTGTCTGTTCTGGAGAGTTTATTGATACATCCATCCTTCAATCCCGCCCCCCCCCCCTTCTTCAAGAAATGGCAACCTGCATCTTGGCACTGAGTCGAGTCAAGTCAAGTCATTGAGAGCTTAATGCGTGTCTTTACTTTTGTCGCAAAGTAAGACGGGAGTAGGCGACTGGAATCACTTACTGATGTCCTCGTTGAGCGAACGTCTTCATTAAGATATCAACTGTGTGGCTGAATGCAGGACGGTAAGTTTTATCATAAACAAAGCGCACAATTTGAAAACTGAAGGCGGTGCTGTTCATCTTCACAAGACAAATCAGATGGCGAATCTGATTCGGCAGTAAAATGAATGAGGATTTCAGGACGTTAAGGTAACTTTGGCACCGGAAGCATAATATCCATCAAATATCCGCACCTCACTACTCGCCTATGGGTGTCTCCTCATAGATGAACATTTATAATGCACTGTTGACGATGAGACCGCCTTTTCGTAGCGAAGACTGACTCTGCGCGGTTACTGAAATGCGGACTTTCGTACTGAAACGCTGACCGAAAGTCCGCATTTCGTCATCATGGAGTAACTTTTCTGCCGTGAATGGGCCGGAAAACAGGAGCGCCAAAGGGCAATTTGATGATATAAGCGACTTCAAGGTCGAGCGCGATGAGATGTAATTTCGTTGCATGAAAGCATCGTCTATTCAAAATACGTAGAGCATCGTAGCTAATATCGTCCGTATGCGTCATTCATCCAGCCACTTACAACTCCTCGGAAACCTGGCCCTGCTTCTCCAGAGCGGCAAAGTCGGTGAAGCCGAGCTCGTACACGAGACCAAGAGTCATCTTGGCGTGCTCAAGCATGTGGTCAAATGACAGGTACTTGATGTTGTCGTCGGTGCTGTGGATGTGCTTGTCAGAGTCCTCGAAGGCGGACTCGATCACAAAGGCGGATGGGTAGCCAGCCTTGCTTGCAGAGGCATGATCGGAGCAGGCGTATCCACACTTGGTCTCGACGTAGGGAACCTTGCAGTACTTTGGTTCTGTTAGTACAAACTCGTGCTGGCAGCTTGTAGGGTTCATTTTGACTTACCTCAACGATGACCTTCTTAATGAAACCGGTCAAGCCGGGATCGACGAAGTCGGTAATGACACCAACGCTCTCGGGCTTTCCAGCATCAAGCGTTCCTTGCACGAATCCGGTCATGTCCTGCTGGAGCATGGCCTTGATGTCACGTCCATCCTGCTCGTAAGACGAGAAGATGGCCTGGCTACCAAGAAGACCACCCTCCTCGGCGCTGTACCAGTGGAACTCGATGGTGTTGTCAGCCTTGCCAGAGACGACATCCTTGGACTTGAGGAGGGTGCGGAAAGCCTCGAGAATAGTCATGGAACCGCTGCCATCGTCATCGGCACCGGGTGCAGCGAGGATGGAAGGCAGCCACAAGTTTATGGAATCCTGGTGCGCACCGATGACAACCGTGCTGTTAGACTTGCCCGGGATGGTAACAATAATGGAGCTCTGTTGCCAAGTGTGGGGGAAGGCCTCGGCGTAGACGTGTTTGTCGGCACCAGCATCCTTGATGATGGTGTTCAGCTTAGCCAAAAGCCATTCAGAAGACTGGCGGCCGTAGTCGGACTTGAAGTAGCGGGTGTGGAAGCTCGTGAACTTCTCCAGGTTGGTCTGGATCTCCTTCTTGTCAAGGTCCTTGATTAGAGGCTTAACCTTGTCCTGGAGGCGACACTTCTCGGGGAAGACGCTCTTCTTCGTCTTGGTATGGAGGCGGTTTGCGCCGAACTCCTTGTGGTCGGTGATATCGAAGAAGCGGTTTCCGTTCTGTAAGGCGTCACGTTAGTACTTCTGCGAAGAAAAGCAACAGCGATGAGGTGTGGGAAATCATACTCTGCGAAGCTCCC